TCTTCCCTCACATCCCTCTTTTTTTTTTGTTAAGTAGGGAACATAGATCACATGGGCCTTGGGGCATAATTATGTGATGTGTTTTTATGTTCTGCAGTTTGTTCTTCACACCTCATTGCCATGTAAACACCTCTTTTAGACCAAATGGTCACATAAAACTAACACTTCTTTTGACTCCCTGCCTTTAGAAAGAGACATTATTGCAATTCAGATAATTAGCTGAAATGCTTGATGTAGCTGGAGGTGGTAATAGGTTATCATTATTAAAATGCATATTCGGAGTCAATGTAGGTGCGAGTACATGGCACAACAGCACATCAGCTGTAGTTTTGAATGATGCGTTTCATGGAAAAACAAAAAGTTTTTCCAACTGGGAGAAAGTCAATTGTAGAGAACTGAAGTCTATTCATATATGGGGGAATCTTTTGACAGTTCTCTTCATTTCACTCACCAATTTGTTTACACTTCTGTAGTGCTTACATTTTTATCTGCTCTCTCTTCTTTCTTTACTTCTTTTCAACATTTGTCTGTCTACCTTATCCCTCCCTCCACATCTTCTTTCTGCTCCAGAACTCTGTCACCTTTTCTCAGCTGCCTTATTTTAATTCTTGAGCTGTCATAAATTATGTATGAACAGCTGAGCGCCCCACACACCTCTGCTAAGACTTTCTCTGAAGTTTTGACTTTGACTGAGGGGTTGTAGGTGGTCTCAGGTTAGCCCGATTGAGACTTCACCTCTCAAGACAAAACCCTCACTGCCTTGTTTCGTCCATTATGAACCACAGGCTGTGGAAAAAACTTCAAAGGATTATATTTTCCAAGTCTGGGGCTTGGAATTGGCACAAAACAAAGAGAGAGACTCAGTCAATAAAACAAGCATACGACACCGCATTGTATGGAGGGTGGTATCCATTAGAGGGTGCTGTGGACCATGAAATGATGTTGCAGCACAGACATTTGTAAAGTAGGGGAGATAATGGAGATTTGCTGTGAGCATTTTTTAGACCAGTAATGTACATTTTGTCATTATTTACTCACCCTCATGTTGTTCGTATACGCTTAGCTTTGTGTGAACAAATCATTCTTTTGAGTCAGATCTTTTCAGTGGATCAGTTAATTTAGTTCACAAAACCAGTCTTAATGATTTGTTTTTGAATGGTTTTGAATCTAGTTAAACTCAGTGTGATGACCATAGCAGGGGCGTGTCTCAAAAGAGGGTGGCAACAAAATGAGCATGATGAGAAAAAAAACATTGTAGAATCTATGGTACACTATTAAGAAGTGCAAACCTGCAAATGTTATCTTAGGGAGCTATTTCTACCTGACCTAACCTAACGTAGGTTGATTAGGTTAATATTTTTGGGTTGAATAAAATCAAATAAATTAATGTTACCACATGAGAAATTGTACATATTCAATGAAGAAAAACACTTAAAGGGACTTAAAAGCTGTATTCAAATAAAAACACTTTCATCATCCTCATGACAATACATGCTGTTTTTGTCTCATACCTAAAGGCTGCAACACGTACCAGTTGATTCATCTCATTGTAACATACAGAGTATATACACAATGTAAATAATAGATTGATTGCGCAGTGTAGAGAGATTCATTGGTCATAACACAACTTTGTGAGATCGCAATGAACAAAGAAGGACAGCTTTTTAGTGATTATAAAGGGAGCGCTCCTTGCGAGCTTTCTATAATCTATTCAAAATGCAGAACTTTTGTTTTTCGCACAGTATCTTACTACAGCTTGAGAGTGGTTAGATGTTGAGTGTTTCCTGTGGAGCTAATGTTAATTAATTGATGTGAATTTTATACTCCAACTGAAAAAAATGCAATGTTTTATATGGTTACATTTTATTTTGATGGTCCCCTTAATCAATCGACTAACATTGTTTATTTAAGATCTGCACAGTATCTTACTACAGCTTGTGAGTGGTTAGATGTTGAGTGTTTCCTGTGGAGCTAATGTTAATTAATTGATGTGAATTTTATACTCCAACTGAAAAAAATGCAATGTTTTATATGGTTACATTTTATTTTGATGGTCCCCTTAATCAATCGACTATAAGCAACTTTGCAACTACATGCCAACTAACTCTCATTAGAGTATTAGTATGCTCAAGAATGGTAGAATCTAGTATGGTAGAATAAGTTGATGTACTTGCAAAGACACTTATAGTCAGTTTATCTGTTGGTTGACCATCAAAATAAAGTGTTAGCAAATATTTACAGTAGCAGACATACTAATACTCTAATGACCGCTAGTTGATATGTAGTTGCAGAGTCACTTATCAACAGCTGTTTAAAGGGTACCATCAAAATAATCAAACTGATATTACAATAAAAATAGTTCAAAGCAAATGTGTCATATTACACATTCATCTGATCTGATATCTGATCGTATGGCTGTTTGAGAGAAAAAAGTTATTATTATTATTATTATTACTACTTATAAGTGGTCTTTGACCGCTTTAAGTAGTATAAGAAAAATGGCAAGATATGAGACTTATAATACACTATAACTATGAGAAATATAAATATAGACCCATGCATTCATTATAATGCCTTAAGAATACCCTTATAATGTTTTATAAATACAGGCTTCATAGAAAGTATCACCAAATATTCTAATAAATGCATATTTACAGTAAGCACTTAACTCAAATAAGTATTAAATAATGAAATAACTATAATCAGCTTCCATTTATTGGGATAAGGCTACTCTTCCCCTGAATTACAAAATAACTTCTGGCCTTCAGTGATGCAAGGACAAAGTTTGAGCACGCACACGCAATATCTTAGAGAGCAGAGCCAATTCATAAGAGAACACTGTCTATTTAAAAATGCACGCCCAGTTTTGAGTGAGAGCGAAGGAAATCTGCTTGCGAGTGGAGAGATTCTTGCTCGCGCATTACATGGATGCGCTATCGCGTTGCATTACTGCGCTCTCGACATTTGTCATTAAGATAACTCGATAGAAACCGCCTAAAATTAAGTATATAGAAGGGAAGAAAGCCTCCCTAGGTAGCCACCTATATTGGCCATGCCAGGATCCGCCACTGGCAGATGCAGTGAGAAATTTAAAAAAAACAAGCCAATCACAATATATCTGTAAGGGGGGGCACCCGGGGTGGCCAACCAGATTTCTGTGGAGGCCGGTGCCATCCCTGGCCACCATGTAGACCCGCCCTTGGACCATAGTTAACATCTCACCAAAGGGGAAGATTGTCAGTGAATCATACATGGGATGCATTAAAATGATCAAAAGTGACGTAAAGATTTTTACATTGTAAAATAAATAAATATTTAAAATAAATGTTATTCTTCAAAGAATCCTAAAAGAAAAAAAATGTATCATGGTTATTTAACATTGATAATAATAAGAAATGTTTCTTGAGCCCCAAATCAGCAGATCGCAGGAAAAACGGAAAAACACTCGCAGTGCACGCCGATTGCCCCCTCGGAGACATCGCGTGCGTGCTCTTCGCCCAAACAAATAACGCATAGATCGTGTGTGTCATCAGATGTTAAACAATGACAACACGGATGCACACATCCTCTTAAACACTTTGCTAGAGCTCGCCATAATGATATGAATAGAGATCGCTCTTACCACAGAAATGCATGCTTCAAACAAAACAGTCAATGAAGACGAAGAAGAGGATGATGTGTTCTCCCGGTGCCTATTTATACTATAGTCGCACCGGTAGTGACGTCATGCTGTCGCCGGCCAATGTGTTGTTGGTGTTTTTTCAATGTATGCTTCAGACACGGGTCACGACGAGGCATTCCCCATAGCGACCCCTAGAGGACGCAGTTCGAAGTTCCCATGAAAGGGAACTGTGTGATCCAACCTTGTGTAATTAAAATATATGTAATCTTTTAACTCACACCACACTTTCAGTCTTTTTAAAATATGTAATCCTGGTAACTTTTGCTAGGTATTTATGTGAGGATAACATAAAGGTACACGGGTGACTATTCCTAAAGCTCTGTTTACATGGAATAAATGCCACCCACTGGAAATCATCCACCAGTGCCAATGAAACAGCAGAGCAGACATCAAAGACTTAGCTAACAATATTACTGTACTTCAGCACCTCAGTGTCCTGCATACCACAAAGCTTTGCATCACATAGAATAATTCATTTTGAGATGGATAGGTTGGCTTCTCTATCAATATCATCTATATTTCTTGTGATCTTGAATTTTAAATATTAAAAGCAGGCAGAATTTTGTCTATGTACCATCCTTGGAAAAATGCCTTTGTCCTATTTTGGATGTTTTGCTTTGTGACGGTAACTTGGAATTGCATTCTTGTTTGTCAGTCTGAGAGTGTGCTTGAGTGCATGTACTAGTTTGGCGGTGACCTCACCACCTCACGTTTAAGTCCGCATCATTGCTAATGAGTGTGGAGAGGCTGAGCTGAGATCAAAGCCCTCTCAGACAGCTTGTCATGTGTGGATGCTAACATCCAGAGCAGGTTCGTCTGAAGTTGTGTGGCTGCTGCTGGAGATAGTGTCTCTTAGAGCATGACCGATATATCGGTTTTAACGATTAATCAACACATGAAGTTGCTTTTTGTACTCTTATTATCAGTATCAGTGTTGATAGTTTTTCTTTATAATCCTTTATATCCTATGTGCATCGGCACTGGTGGGTTCTACCTCTGGGGGTAAAATAAAACTAACTACGGACTCTGCATTGAATTGTGATGCATGACTATGCTTTGTACACAAAAAAGTGATTAAGTGATTAATTTTGCAATTTTAGTTATTGGTATCAGGAAAAATAGGTTGACCTCTAGTGTCTTGTATAACCAGACACTCTTGTTGTCTGTTCTGTCTTTTTGTATATTTTTTTTAAACCAATGATTTTTTTTTTAATCAAACAGATCAATTCCAGTAATTGAAAAATCACCCTAATATGATCATTCTGAAATGAGAGGAAACACATGTTCAATAATTACTTTTTTTTTTTTCCTCCAATAGCTTCAAATACCTCAGACTCCCAAATTCTTACCCAACAAGCTACACAACTATGAAGGACTGTCACGACCAACCTCTTCAGAGGCCCCTTGTGACGGTTTGGATGCCGAGCCTGGTCACAACCCACTGACGCCCCAGTCCTGCTCCCCAGACCTACAATGTCCCATCACTGTTGAGTCTACCCCAAACTGTGCTGTATCAACAGTAACTATATTTGCTGATAGCTCTGCTGCTTCCTCTTCCAGAACTTTTCAAAGCACTGATCCTACTGAGCTTGGCCTCATGAGCAGCCAGCTTAAAATCAATGAGCCAGCAAGTCCACCAGTTTCTGCTAGCTTTTGCTGTAAGCTAGAGAGAGGTATACAAAAATTTCCTTTGAAAAGAAGCAGTTTTTCAACCTTACAGCCACAAACTTATGTAAAGACAGCTACAACACTCATCAAGCCCCAGGAAGTACAGCGGGTCAGTATGTTCACCGGAGCCCTGGGTAGGTTTGGAGCCCCAGGTCTATCCAGAACAAGACATCAACCTTTATCAGCTCCTGGACTACCTTGCATCAACCCAGCCCGAGAAACTACCATGCACAGCACTACTTCACCAATATTTAACCAACAAAATCAAGGGTGCAGACAGTCTTTATTGCTCAGAAAGATACAGAGCAGTTTGCCCAGAGCCAGTGCCCCCCTCCAGCCCAAACATTCCCGCCTTCCTAAGCCAAAGACACTTTCTTCTCTCCCAAACCCTGCTGCTCAACAAGGTCAAACAACAACCTCCCCCGCTCTGCCTTCTCGTATGCTTCCACAATTCTAGATTAGTTAAGCAGGGCTTCAGGCATCCCACCAGAGTGTAGAAAAGCTGCTCCTTAAGGCCCTGCTTGTAAGGCACCAGTCAAGTATTTTGCCAGTTATGCTTACGATGTTCAAAACAAAACATGACACAATGCACTTAAGTTGTAAGAGACACTATTGTCTACCTTGTACCTATGCATCTTGCATAAGATATTACTCCTTTGATAGATTAGCAAGGCGCCACTTCTCTAGGATAATGACCAAAACCAAGCAGAGTATTGTTATTGCTCTAATTGATCCTGTTGAGAGAGACTTGCATTTTCCTGTCTTAACTACTACCACGTTATGTGCACCGTGTGGGCCATAATAAAGGGTGCCCACTGAGATTTTCAGAGGAGCCATCTCTTCCAATTGCTTCTCTACCCATCTCTCTTTGTACCTTTGTTCTTTGCCACTAGCATGACAATTGTGGAATTGCTGGAATTGGCCTCCCACCACCGTACCTAATGAGAGCAAGTTCTGGAAGCCAAGTCAGTTTTAACACCAGAATGAGTTGTAAGGCCGTGAACATAATGAAAAACGAAAAAAAAAAAAAAATTGGCTGTGAGGAACATTGGCCTATACAGTGAGGGAGTTTGAAGTGATTGACATGGTTACTGTACAATTAGAGTGATTTCGCTAAGTAGGAAGTTTTTTGATTGTTGGTTCTGGACCACATTCTTCAGATTTAAGGGTTAGGAACAGAGACCTATAAGGGATAGGGACATGGTTTGGACTATCATTGTTTGAAAGGAATGAATATATATATATATATATATATATATAAAGATATGTCCTACTTGGTATAGTCAAGGTGAACTGTACTTGATTGTGACTCGCAGGAATCAAGGAATATTTTGTGCACATTTTTGCATTTTGGCAAAATAAAACACAGTTTCAGTGATTTAAGAGCAGTGCCTGATTGCAAATCATAGAACAAGGAACTTAATTTATTATGAGGTGCAGCTCTTACTAGCTGGCCTCTGTTACACTAAACTTCACTTCCATCCGGGTCATGGCATCAATGCAACCAGTTCTTCTTGACCCACTCTGAGTGGAGCTTGAACCGGCAACAGCCAACACAGGAGGTGGGCGCGCTAACCAGGATGCTGAAGATTGCAGCCTCTATCGTCAGTCACTAGTGCGCCTCTTGAGGCCAGGTTTAGGTGCGCAGCTCTTACTAGCTGGCCTCTTGTTACATCCAGGCCATACCTGATTATAATTCAGTACTACACTCATCAGTTTCTTTTGAGCTTTTTTAGTTTTTGTTCTAAAAATTAGGAAAAATAATTATTTATATATTTCATTTTAAAAGTTTAGCTAGGTTCGACAACTGAGCAATTCCCCTTTCCTCACAGTCTCTACTTCCACACAGTTTGGAAAGGGGAAACATCTCCCACCTTCTCTACTCTTGTAGTTCAATCTTATGATAAATAAAATGTCCAAGCAGCAGCAGCCCCCTACTTTCATTCCACATCTATTCACAACAAGATTCAGGTTGTCTGATTGCCTTAGCAAACATTGCAGGAAATGGTTAGCACAGACACTGACTTATCTGCTGTAAATCTGTCAGGCCATTCAGTCAGCGCGACAGCTTTCTACACAAGTCAAACTGTTTATCCCTGCATCTCAGTTCATATTATTTCATTTATCTCATCCATCCTTTGCCACTTCAACATGCTTGCAGATGTAATTTAATGAAGCTGCCGAGATGGCATCCACATTGCATTAGATACTGTTGATGTTAAAAGGGTTTTAATGATACAGATCCTTAATCCTTAAAAGAGGAACCTGACGCAATAGCTAGATTAATGACAAACCCTCACCCTAATCTCTAGATCAGTGATGGGCAAACTTGGCCCTTCCAGGCCACTTACCTGCAGAGATTTGATCCAACCCTGATAAAACTCACCTGCCTGTAGCCTTCTAGTAGTCTTGAAGACAATGATTAGTTGGTTCAGGTGTGTTTGATTAGGGTTGGAGCTAAACTCTGAAGGAAAGTGGCCTGGAAGGGCCAAGTTTGCCCACCCCTGCTCTAGATCCTCTTCAATGTACACTCAACCTCACAAATTTGTCCCATCGCTCATGGTCTCAGCTATTGCTGGAGAGAGTGCATATTGAGCGAGTAGACAATATCTCTTCTGACGAACCCTACATGAGATGAGGTTTTCTTTGGAGTGCTTTGGAGTGAAGATGATCGGAGTCTCCTGTTGATGGAGGAGAGTAGAGCCCTCATTGAAGGCTCAAGCAAACACTCTAGCATCTTATAGTTTCATATAGTAAAAAGCATCCAGCAATATACATAGCGGTGTTTTCCTTCTTAAACATAAAGCAAATAGCTGCAAAGCTTCTTTGATTATGAATATTATTATAGTGTAATCGATAAATGTTATTGAACCTAAAATGACTGACTGGTATAATTGGCAGTGTTGTGCTCTCCTTTGTACACAATTAATGTTCACACAAGTGTCTTAGCAAAGTGTGTAATGCAAGTGTGGTACATTGTTCCAATGTTTGCCAGCCATCTTCATTTTGAACACTATACTGTAAACCTGTCTATTGCTATTTAATTTAAAATCTAACTTATATTGTGAAAGTTTTGCTTGGAATGTATACTTGTGTTATCTATTTTATCACCTAATGCCATGACATTCATACATTTTCAAATGTGGCTTATGTCTCCAAATAGTTTTTGAAGTTTGTTTGAACTCCTATAGTCTGCTGGAACATTGCTGTGGTTATGTGGAGAGTAAAGGAAGGATCAATACGCAAACAACCAGAGTTTGACTCAGTCTTATGCCCATCCTCTTTTCTTGTCTCAACTCCTAATACTCCATTTAATTTAGCATCTAACAATAAATAAAACTGATGAACAGGTTGATTGCAACACTGTGATGCGGTGTGTGTTCAGAGAATAGTTTCATCCAGCTAAGGCAAAGCGGGCAGGAGTGGGACTGAAAAATCCAACCTCTGCCTGCAGGCTTTTGCGGGTGGGAGCAGGTCAAAATTTTACATCAATTTTGCAGGAGTGGGCCAGAATCTCACAGGAACAAGCTGGAGCAGGTCTGAAACAAATCCAAGAAATGTTATGTGGTACACTACATCGGTATAAAGGTTTAGGAACTAGAGACTAATGTCTATGGCTTCACTTTTATTTTACATCTGTAAAAATGCACAAATGTTAAAGTGCTTCTGTGGCCTCTCCATCTTTTGAATATGTGGATTACTTGAAACTTTTGATTTGTAGCTATATAATACTTGTATTTTTGTGGCGGTACCTATAATAAACACTAGTTTAATGGGGAGATGAGGGTTTACTTAAATGAGGGTTTCAACTTCTGATTTCTTTTGTCTCATCTGACGCATGCAAACATTTAAGGAACAATATCACTGTGTCATTACTGTATGTCCACCTTTAGTATCAGATATATAGTATCAGATGCAGCAACATGTTAATGCATAATGTAGACACGTTTATTTGCTCTTTTAGTAATGTTTTTATTGTTCTTTATGTTGTATACCATCTGTTTACTTAATTTGTGCAACACTGTAACTGTATGAAAAACTGCACTGCCTTTTAATGTAAACCTCTGTTCAAACTTTATTTATTTGTGCATTTCTAAGTGTGTGTGTGTGTATGTTAATGATAAAAGAAACCCCATTAATCAGATATGCACTTTAAATGTAGAAATGAGAGATGTTTTTATGTGCTTTACATCGCTCCATGAGTGTACAAGAGCTCTAAATAAAGACGGCACCAAAAGCTACTGCAATTTTTTTTGTCCAAGTATGTTTTTTTTGTGTATGTCTGCGCTTCCTGGTTTCAAATAGCACTTCACAGAACTATGATCAATGCAGAGTGTGTTCTAATATCTGGAGGTCTGAATATTAATGTTCAACCAAACAATGAATGTGAGGCCTTTCTAGGGTAATAGAAAGGGAGTTCTTATGGATAGTAACAGTAGGGTTGAAAAGGTTCAAAGTGCTGGTGAAGGCTGGCCAAGTACAGTGATGAAGTATCACCACAACTATCAACCAAGCGCAGTGCGATTCAAAGATACAAGTGCAGGCAGAAGTTCACTCCAAGAAAAATAACTATAAAAACTAGAATGATAACTATATTAATGCCCACATCAATGCATGATAATGTTTGGCTTATTATAAGCACGCACTAGTAGTTATGGGTTCTTCTGCTTTAATTGCCCGAGTTCTTTGAAGTCGAGTGGGATCTGATTGGTTGTCATTGTTTTTATTGTTCATCACCTGGAAAAAATATAATTCTGTAAGTGATTCCAACAATATCCTCTGTGGTTTTATTTGTTATAGTTGTGTGAACTTCCATATTCTCATAGAATTAAAACAATTATAACTTTATAGTTATTGTCCTTGGTGTAAATTATAGTCCTTGGTGTGAAAAAAACCCCTACTTAGTTCTGTATCACTCTACAATTCGTCATGCTCTTTAAAGTCACAATAAAACAGAAGTAGCAACATATTTTCTGCTGTATTATGACGCTAATTCATATTAACATGTCAAAATAACACCCCACGTGCATTTATAAAATAGGGTGAATTTTCAATTTATGCTGACTTTTAAGATCTCAAAATTCTGGACTACTGATAATACCTATAATATTTTAAGATTTAGTTTTGTATGATTATTTTATGTTTATGTAAATGGGGTAAATTGGTTATTGTTCATAGGTGTAGTTTTGGGTGATGTAACTGTGACATTATTTATATGGAGTGAGTAGGTGTAAGAAGTGAGCAAAGTGCGCATAAGATGGGAACGCATGAAAAAAGCATGGTGCTCCTAAAAGCACGAGCTCTGACAAATAAAAGCCAGTAAAGCTTCATATCTCTGTGTTTGCTGGCATTATTATCTTAAACTCATCTACAAGACTGGAGATTCCTCCTATGTTCCACAGTCCCTCTTACAATATTAAATTCAAGAAAAGGAGGTAGCCTTTTCCTATTTGACTTTAACGTAAACTTTAATTTAGATTTCAACTTAATCTGAATTAATCTCAAGCATTTGTCAAGCATTCACATAGCTCACACCACAGACCAGTATTCCATATTGTTTGCTGAAGTGCATGCAGATGCATGGCGTGTCTTTTGTCCTTTCTAAGCACAACAAAAGGACAAACATATAAAACATATAAAATTTCATTTGTAGGTGGAGGAAGAACTGTTGCAGCTGTCTGGTGTCTAGTTCCACCCACTCAATCTGGTGCATACCAAAGCCATTTCTGGCATTAGCATTTGCATATTCAATCTTTGCAACTGCTCCCACACCCATTTGCTGACTCAAGGCATCTAATTCAGGAGTGTGGACTCACGGCAGAGAAAAAAGAATATGACAGGGGCTCATGGTTTCACATATAATGCTTACTGAATAGATTTCTGCTTAAATTCAACTAAAATGGACCAAAATGAGCAAGAAAGCTAAAGTAAAAAACAACAACAAAAAAAACAAACACGTAATGTGCCATATTTATTTATTTATTTTGTTTGCTAGAAGTTGTTATTAAAGCATCCTAATTTCCTTTCTATTCATCATAACTTCTACCTCAAGGACTCAAATAAATTGAAGCAAGTAGTGTTAAGTTGTTGGAACGTTGTTAAACAAGACATTATAATAAATCTTATTTGTGGAAATGCATGCTTTCAACACTTTTTAAAATTCATGTATTTAATTACTGTCTGGAACAGAACTGAACAACAAATACACAGAGAAAAACAAGTTGGTGGGAAAAAGGGGGGTGATACGTGATGATTGAGATAGAAAATAAAATCACCAGTGTATCAATGGCACACATTTCCTTCAGAATAGGACTACACTACTTGCCCTGTATGTTTTTAAAGGGATAGTTCACCCCAAAATGGCAAAAGATTACCAATGGGTGTGATTCAGCCATAGGCAATCAATGCAGTACTTTTATTAGGACCAGTGTTAGGCAAGTTACTCTGAAAATGTAATCAAATTACTGATTACTGATTACTCCTTTTAAAAGTAATCACGGTACTGTTCTGATTACTTTATTTCAAAAGTAATTAGTAATTAGTTACATTACTAGTTACATTACTTTTTTCTCCATTAAATTTATGAAATCCCAGCATACACGCTCCCGATAAATATTTGTTATTAAAGCATCAACATTCACAGAACACTGTTTTTTTTAACTAAAGCAAGCGGCTGCTGCGTGTATGGTTTGGCATGGCAGAATGCCAGCAAAGAGCGCTGCATTTAGAATCTCTAAAAGACATCTCAGTTCATCGAGATTAGAAATCACTGCTTTCTGTCAGCAATGTAACGCGGCAGTAACGTATAGAGACCTCGGCTTGTAACTATACTCTAATTACTATTTTGAAAATTATAATGCGTTAAATTACTCTGTTACTAAAAAAGTAATCAAATCAACACTGATTAGGACCAACATCACAATTGCCAAAGTGATATTGCTTTTCTAACAAGAAGTCAATATTAAGTAACTTTAGACATATAAGATATTAGACATATACATATATAAATACATATACATATTTTTATTTATACAGCTAAATAGTGCACAAATCTGTACATAAATCTTATGTTCCAGATGTATACCACATTATTATTATTATTTATTTTTTTATTTTTTTTCTTAGTCTTATTGAAATGTTCTTTCTGTTCTCACGTCATATATGTATGTATGTATGTTTGTACCAAGAGCTCCTAATAAAAAAAAAATATAAATAATTCCTTGTGTGTTTGCACACACTTGGCAAATAAGGCTCATTCTGATTCGTATAAGATTACCAATTTATTTACAACAAAACAACACACAATAAT